ATCCTTTGAGCCAAGGCCAGTTGGTGTATCTGCGGGACCTTTGTGTGCGAGGCGGGCAAAGATCCAAGACCGCTGGAGTTCTGTTCTTTATTAAAGTGCTGCGAGCCCCGACATCAGGCGGGTCAGTGTACACAATTGCTCCTGTTGAAGATTTGGGAAAAAGTTAGACATGTGCATCGTACTTTGTTAAAGAGCTCAACCAGCTGGCCAGAATTTGTCAGAGCCCTCGTAATCCTCTCCTTTTCGAATTCTGATCAATCATCGGTGGACTCTGGCGAGGATGATCTATTGGATGATTGAAACTTGGCTAGAGTAGTGTCCACAGAGCGGGAGAGGTCCCTCCGGTGACGGTACCATTGCTGTTCAGGCACCTTTCAAGTTGTGCTCCACTCCTACCCCACAGCCCTGACGGTGTCCCCTTGTCATCGGGTAGAGTTCCGGAGCCTCCTCTGGTCCATGACTCTTTGCCTGGTAATCCTTAGTGGCATCAGAGGGTACCACCACTACTGTAAGACCACTGCTACGGTCGAACCACCCGAAGAAACGCAGGCTACCATTCCAATGCCATATTTGCCAGAGACAATGGGAGGCAGAAGGGGCAGTGTTGAATTCGCAAGTAACTGTTGCTAGGGGGGTTTCTACTCTTTTTAGGCCTTGGAGTTAATATCGTCGGGTCGACGAATTTAAAAACTAGGGGGTAGAATGTGACCGGTTAAGAGTTTCTGAGTTGTTTTAATGGGAAGACACGCCAGCGGAATTGAGCCACGGCACGATATTGAATACACCTGTTGTGGCTCAATTAGGGAGGTTTGTTGGGTCCCGGTGGCTCTATAAAAAGTTTGTCTAAAGGCACCATTGTCATTCTTCTCCGTACTGCGTGTAACAAAAGTCTAAATGGTGATATTTCCTGTAGCTATTCCCTGGTGAGTCCTTTGACTTATTGCTCTTCTCCAGTTATAGATCACCGTCTAAAATATGTGTTGTCATTAGGGATGTGCGTGCAGTGGCGAGCGCAGGTTGCATAAAGCTTACTGTAGCCTAATTGATCTTTCACTTTGAGGTGTGGGTCCAGAGCGCTAGCTGCTGTTTTCTTAGGGGTTCTATACTCGTGGTGTCGCTGTTTTGTCGGCTGGCTGTAGTGATTGGACGTTTGCGGTTTCGAACCGCTGTAGTGACCGAGCTCTTCCACAATCTCTGCCCTGACTGGTCTGTATGAAGGTGCTGAATATTGGGCATGCGTGTTTTATTATGGACTATTAAAGTGACTACTAGGAACAACAGAGAAGTTCTGTAACACAGCAGCGCAGCCGGAACAATTTTAAAGATTAATTGTGTGTGATGTATTTTTCTTTCTTTTTTTTCCTTTCTTTGATCTTGAACACTGTATTTGCCAGGTATGTCCCACATGTGAATGATTTGACCTGTGATATGAGGCTTAGCTGAAGAGGAGAGTGTATTTGCTTTTTTTTGTTTGGTTTCTTTTGAATTGTTTATTCACTTGCTTTGATTTTTGTTCACTGATTGTTGTGTGGTTTGTCTCTTCAGCTATTGCGGATGAATTACGGTCTCTTATTTGCTGTGGGTATTTAATTGGTAATTGTGTATGAGACCTATTTTTAGATGTTTTAAAATTAATGTCCCTCGTACAAAATAAACTTTGTATACTTTTGAAGTCACGTCTCTGTCTTTGATGCCATCTGAACCAGCAGGGTCCTTTCTCATTTTTGTAATTCCTTTTGGGGTTTATTTTTTTTACTTTCCTGGGTGGAGAAGTAACCTAGGTGGCGTAGTCAGTTTTGTAATACATTTAGCAAGGTTACACTTGCATACTCTAGCTGTAAATAATAGTTTGTTGTAAGAGACGTTTTGGGCCAGAGTTTTGCTATGAGATTTGGTTGCTTACTTAAGTTCAGACATTCCAAGTTATGATATTTCCAAGTTTGTACAAAATGTCCCCATAAAGATGGCAATATCTGAAATCCGTGTATTGTGTCCTTTTTTTGGTCCCCATGCATTTTTACATTAAAAAAAAAACATTGATTAATCAAGTGAACCTCATGAGGTATCTCTACCCTATCTCACGACCAATTCGTACGAATTCGACGAATGATTAAAAAATGTCTAATTCGTACTAATTTGTATGACCTCACTCATACGAATTCGTACGATTTGTCTAAACCCACGTGATGGTTAGGTTTAGGGGCGGGGTAAGGGGTAGGTCATTCGTACGAATTCATACGTAAAACATTGCCAATTCGTAAAATATGTACGATTTAGCAAAATCGTACTAATTTGTACGAGTGAGGTCGTATGAATTGTTACGAATTAGCCACTTTTTAATCATTCGTCAAATTCGTACGAATTGGTCGTGAGATATCTACTCATCACAATTACTCAACTTTATATGTTTATTTCTACTCATCAAAATTATTTATGAAAGTTACCTTTTTATTATATGAAAACCAATGTGAAAACAATCTGTCTGTATTAATGTGACCACTATGAGCGGGTAAACTATTGTTCCAATTAAACTTCAGTAATTGTGTTTAAGCTTAATTTCTGTATTTTTTATATACTTTAAGGATGTTTAAATCTCTGACATTTTTGTCTCTGTTCCTTTGTCTATGTCTGTCTGTATTTATGTCTCAGATTTTACCTCAACCCACATCTGTTTCTCACACTCCCTTGTTCCCAATCCAAGGCCTTTGGAGTTTGCTGAACTTGCATGTCTGGGCAGAGGATGTGTGTAAAGGCTTGGACAAGCATGTCAAGACACATGCACTGAGGCAACATATTTTGTGCCATTTCGACATCATAAACGCTTGCACACAAAACATGAATTTCTGAGTAGTTCCAGCCGAAAAAAACTTTTCACATTTTAAGGACAAATTCTGAACACCCAAATAGCCTCTCTTTATTATTTTTATTGAACACAGCAGCAACAATGCTAGAAGTAACAGAGGAGCAACTAAAGAGGTAGGACACTTTTTATAGAAGTTTTTGAAAGTGGCAGGAAAGATGTGATCCAGTATTCCTGGAGTAAAATACTTTTTAATTGCTTTTTATGATGTTTTCCTTCCTTTTCTGCCTTTTCTACAGTCTTTTTGAACAATGTAGATGGCAAACATTGTCTTGAGAGTGCCCAACCTTATGTAAAATAGTATTTGATTTTGCTTTATAAAATGATCATGATGCATAGATCTTTTAAACACCTTTACATTTGTGGAATGCTGTATAGTATATTTTCCGCTCGACAGATTAGACAGCCAATACAGCTGCTTGAGGGTGTATAATCTTTACACAAACACACAAGCATATGCTTGCAGTGTATGCAATACTCAGTTAGTATCTTTGACTGTTTGGATCTCTCCTTGAAACTAGGTAACACTTTATAATAACTGCATGTTAAGCATTAGTAAATAGTTAATTCATCATTTATATAGCAGCAATAGTAATATTAACACGTATCCCTACTGTAATTCATGATTTTTTTTTTGCGAGCTTATATAAAGTGAGAACTATTTGCCTCATAAAGAACTATTTATGCCTCCTTCACAAAGGAGATTTAAAGGCTCAGTTATCTTCTAAACAGAAAAAGGATACAAACACCTACAATTTTTAGTTGGCCCAATTTAAGTTGCGGAAACCAACTTTTTGTATGTTGTGCTGACCACCCCTGCATGTAGACTGAACTTGAAATAGAATGTTGTGACAATTAAATATTTTCTGTTGACTAAACATAGCTTGTTGGGCCAACTCAAATTGAAATAAAATATTGTATTAATTAAATATTTCATGTTGGCCAAAAAGTCTATTTTTCATTATTTCAAATACATGTTTTGAAACTTTAAAACCTGCAGCAGTACCAAATAATTAATTACTACTAGAACATTAATTTGTAATATACATTTGATTTAAACAAAAATGTATGGTAAATTAACGAGTACTGATACAATTTTCAATACAAAATTCATTTATGCTCTCGAGCTTCAAATTAATCAGTTAAACTAAACACTCTAAAATGCCACTCCTACAACATACAATATATAGAATCAGCGAATCATGTATGTGTGAAACAATCTGACTCGAAATGGATAATACATAGCAAAAACCCCAGTGTTAAATGAACTCTCCTGGTAGTTTCTTCAGCTCCAGACTCAAGAGTGTTAAAGTTAAATGAGCTAATTAAGTGATCCATTGTGATGATTAACCATTATTGAAGACACCTGATGTTAACAAGCAGAATCACCAAAGTAGAAAATATTTTTAAGCCACCATTATGGTGATTGGTGTTTGCTTTAGTTGGGCTCGTGACTGTTAACATTAGTTTTGTTTGGGTGTTATATCTGAGTTATTATCACATGACAAAGTTGTCTTTAATTCATTTCATTGTCAGTGGTGTAAAATATGTAGTTGGACTGTTTCATGTAACTTAGTTCTTCTCCCTCGCTGTCTTATGGCTTTGCTATGTGGGGATAAATGGTTCATGAGACAATCACCTGGATAGTACTCTTGTCATTGACCGTAAAACAGTAACGTTACAGGGGTCACCAACCTGTTGATCGCGGTCGACAAGTCGGTCTTGGAAGCATTTTAAGTCGATCGCAAAGAATTTTCAAAATCAGAGAAAAAAAGCCTATTGTGTAGTAAATGGTGTCTTGAAGATGCGGACGCGTCGAGTTTAAACAAGGCTTTACGCTTCAACCAGCTCAGCCACAGTAACGGCTCATATTTATCCAGTTAAAGTTTTAATACCTTGTTAGAAAAAATATATAGTTGCATAGTTTCATGTGGTTCTTCTTCCTCGCTGTATTATGTGTTTGCTATGTGGAAAGAAATGGTTACGTTTTTGAGACAGTCAGCAGCAGATTACTATTATTACACACTCTTGTCTTACTCTGGCTATTCTCTGCCTTCTCAGACGATGAAATGTTTGACCTGTTTTAGCCACCGTAGCTTCTTCGAAAGGGAGGGGTGAGCAGTGGGCTGATCCCTTAGTGCAAACTCTCAACCGAACCGCTAGATGTCACTACAAATCACACGTTTGCCTTTGCTTTATAGTTGGTCTTTACTGTAATAATCGGTAACGCTTTAGATTACAGGCCGTAAAGTACTGTGTAAAGCAATTTTACAGCGTAACCTTCAAGTAATTATAGTGTAGCTGTAACGTACTTAAAATATAAATATAAATATGAGGGAACAATATCCTCTAACTATACTGCGACTCGTAAAGATAACCACGAACATCGGATTCGAGCAGCAAAATTTCAAAATCCTCTTCTTCCATATCATGTTTAGTTTCTTCCGTCATTGTCATAACTTACTATCTCCACAGCGCTTGTTAGCTTAGCTTCCAAACAAGATGGCGGATATTGATTTCAGTTTCTGCAAGTGTAGTCCCACCCACTGATCTGTAATAGGCTTGTAGGCTGAGTGGGTCCAACACGCTGGAATAATAATGAGCTAATGTATGTAGTTTTAAAGATTTTAATGAAATATGACTTCCTGCTTATCGTGACGCAAAATGACGATTTTTACGTCACGATAAGCAGGAAGTAAAACACTTAAATCCTTATTTCTCCCATCTCAGGGGAAAATAAGGGAATAAACCATGGCCATTCAAAAATATGACTGGGTTTCTAAAGATATAAAGCTTAATGCAAATGGGTGAAGTGACCCTTTAAACATATGCACTTTTGCCAAAAACAAATAAAAACAAACGTATTAATGCATAGATAAGTACCCTGTAATTTAAAAAAAACATATACAGTAGATTTGGCACACAATTATTACAAAAAGGTATGCAGTGTATGTTCTTGCTAAATTGCTCCCAAATGTAAGATTGTTGTATCATAATAGTAGAATAAGTACCCCTTAGTCATATAATACTTACAGTATAAATTTTTTAAATTCTCCAAGTTGTTACCCCTTTATTCCCTTATACTTAAAAGTACTACACAAGTACACTATAATTACCGAAAGTTACTCTGTAAATTCCTCTTAATTAAACATACTTTCCGGGCTGTAACCTAAAGCCTTAATAATCATCATTGAATAAATAGGGACATCTCTCACATACCCAATAATCACTGATCAAAACAAGTGTGTTAATTCATTTAATGCTTTTAAATACTGTAGTATAAAAACTGATTTATTTATTTATTTACCAGGACAATGCATATTAACAACAGTACACCTGTAACATGCCAGAGTTAGCCAAGGGCTAGTTTTCATCTGTAGTCCTGTTTGCAGGTGATAATAAGATAATAAGATACCATAAAGATACTCTTTTTGTGCACAAAACATTTTGAACTACTACTACCATTACCATATTTAAACACACACAAACATCAATAATCAGTGTATGAATCTCAACAACTGTGCTTCATGCTGAAATGCATTCTGGGAGTACATATGAAGAGTTCAGATGCAAAAGCCTCTAAATGCCATTTGAAATTTTCGTCTAAAATGACCATTTTTATCAAGCTTGCATATTTAAGTTCAGTAATTTCACTTAAATTACAATTAATAGGTAATCTTCATTGCCATTTAAGTGAAATTACTGAACTTAAATATACAAGCTTGATAAAAATGATCATTTTAGAAGAAAATTTCAAATGGCACTTAGAGGCTTTTGCATCTGAACTCTTCATATATAAATATATATTTAAATCTTTATATTCGCACGCACGCACTTATTCTTAACTGGCGCTAGGACCCAGGAACGCATGCTGGCAAGAGGGTCGGGCACACACACACACACACATTCCTGCCATACCACAGTGAATGGACATGATTGTTGCAAGTCAGTCAAATGTGTTCAGCAGCAGCGCTTCGGCCAGCTCCAGAGAGTCCCTACTTACAAAAACTCTCCCCCGTTGACAGATTGAGTTATCTGTGTCAGGATATCGCTGGGTAAATGCGACAACATACATTTGCTAGCTTATCTGCTTTGTTTTGCAAAGTTTCCTCTGTGAATTCAATGTAGCGGATGATGTGATCAGTGTAACGTGATGCGTGACTCATGTTTACCAGCTCTCGGATGGAGTTTAGAGATCTGCATGTGCCAAGCACTAGGATTTATTTATTAATAATGCTTATTGATATTTTTTTCCAAATGCATTTGATTAGCTACTTAGTAAAGTCAACTTTTTCTAGAAAAAAAAAATCTTTTTAAATTTTTTTTTTTTAGATCTGACTGCATGGACATTAATTGAATATATGTCCTGTAATGTTTCATGCAGCCTGTCGGTAATGTGGGCTGCGGGGGGCTTTAGCTGGCTACGTAATGCTGAAGTTCATAGTGTTTCTATTTTTGGTTTCTGGGGTATGTTTCCCTCTTCATTCCTCCTGTCATTTCGCATATGTTGTCATGTTAATTATTTATATAACTTTTTTTGATACATGAATCTACTGTGCTAAATGTGCAGTATTTCTATTTGATCTGACCCAAATTGATTCACTTCAAATAAATGATATAATGATGATAAAACCAGTTAATGTATAGCCTGTTATATAAAGCACATGTTACCTACCTGTACATAATATTTTACATGAGCACATATTATAAAGTATGTGATAAGTTGTGTTTAACTAAGCAACCACTGAATGTCCTAGACCTGTTCAAAACAAGAATGATCCGCTCAACAACACTAATTTATTGGTCCATCAAAAATAAAAAGAATACTATGAATATAGCATACCCATATAATGCACATTACATACTTTTGCTCATGCATTATTGGCAGCAGTTCAGCGCTAAACCTATACTCTTTTTATTTGAAGTATTGATTGCTTTCAGTGTGAATGAATTGTTGAAATACACAGAAAATGTGTCTAATTGGCATTTTAATTACATTTGATGAAGTGAACATATAAAAAGGGGAAAGAAAAGTAATGAACCAAGGCAATTAAATAAACATGCAGAACTAGCTCAATTGCCAGGGCCTTTTCATGTCCATGTCTGTAAGCATGAAATTAGGGATGTAAATTATCGATTAATTCATTAATCATTAGTTGATCAACCTTATCGATCAATTAACGATTAACTGATAAGCGCCTGTTTTCCGGAGAATGTAAATTGCTCATGGTATCAATATAACATAAAAAGCTAAATATTGCTTATACTAAGTAAAAATGCATGTTATATTGCTCAATTGATGTTTTATTGTAACAGTTGCGATACGTCACAGAATAATGCCATTTATTATGTAGTTTAACGAAATTTATTATGCACAGAAAATTAAAATACAAAAAAAAAATAATTGTGTACTGGCTCACCTGTTGCATGTGTAACATTAAGCAACATAAAATAAATTTTAAATAAAAATCTATATGGGTACGCTTATCCTACCTACACTATATTAAGCCTACATATAATAATCTATCTGGTAAACTACTTGTATAAAAAACTTTAAACATTAGCAGCAGCACTTATAATATAGGCTGAGGGGAAAGTCAAAAAGGTACAACTTTTAACGAGTGGAAATAAGGTGTGGCCCCTTTAAGAGCTACGCGCTCCCTGTTGAACCCAAGCGTTAATGAAAGTGCGGGGCATGTGCTTGCGCTTGATTCAGCGAGAATGAGGGCGCGGCCTTGATTTCGCAGCTTTACTTCCTGCTCCCGACTGCGCATTTTGGTCCCGAAACACGCAAGTGCGCAGACTCAAGTTCCAAGATGTCAGCGTCATAAATAATGAGGGCCACTGGCGGCTTTCAGTTCTCTCTGATGGAAAAGAGCGAAGGGGCGTCGTCCATCTTTTTTTACAGTCTATAGCCGTTTCTCAATACCAAGTACGCAGACTTCGGACTTGCGTCCTTGGTAGTTCAGACTTGCCAAGTTCGACTCAGGAGAACGAACTCCCGAGGATGCGAGGACGCATGGGTTCTGCTCTGTTCCATTTGCTGAAGAACCCATGCGTCCTCGCATCCTCGGGAGTTCGTTCTGATAACCGGAGTAGAGCGTGCTGAGTGACACGATCATAGTGTCTCTCAGCACGCTCTACTCCGGTTATCTCTTTATATTGAGAATGAAGAGTCACGTGCCGATTTGGGCGGGGTCTGAGCCGGTCGGCCATGATGGTAGGAGACGCTATCGGTTACCAGGGGCAACGCCTTTAGAACCCATAGACGCTACTAAACATTCCAGAGCTCTTTAATTTTCGCGCATTTATTATTTTGGCAGGACAGAGACGGATCTAAGAATACGAGAAAAAAGGAAGAAAGTAAAGCAATGAGGTGAAAGAAAAGCAATAAGGTGAAAGAAAAGGGACCTTACAGTAACAAACTCAAACAAAGTGCAAAACAGCTGTATTTGGCGAAGCACCATCAATAGATTTGTTCTTTTGCTATCTCTGGCTATCTCAAGTCCACACAAGTCACCTCTCGTTGCATCCTCGGTAAACGGGGCGGATCAAGAACACATCTGGGGATTTGAAGTGGACTTGGCTAGATGTGAACTTTGAATTGGAACAGTACTTCGGCAGCGACTGATGATGTTTCACAAGTCCACAAGAACACAAGTACAGACAAGTACGCATATTAAGAAAAGGCTTATGTGTTGAACTATCGTGCCGTGCGCCTCAAACACCCCTTTTGCTGTCTATGCGAAATTAACACACCATGTATGAAAGTGTCACAGACAGTTTGACTAGTTTCCCGGGAAGAATAACAAACCGAGAGGGGTCCGGGAGCTAGGGCTAAAAAACAGGAGAAACCCAGGAAAACGGGAGTGTTGACTGACAGGTATGAGATAAGTTACAGCTGGATTTTCGAGGTTAGCACGCTGTATAGCTAACGTTAGCTGGACGGACCTAGTCAATATCGATGCACTCCACTCCGTTTTGATCGCCTCATGTTTGGTTTCTTTTTTGCCGCCTCAAGTTTCTGTCGGCTCTCTCGCGTCAGAACATTGTGTCACGTTTGCTATGTTCAGTTAGCCGGCAATTAATTTAATCATTTAATCGAGTAAATTCTTGTCGACAATTAATCGATTAACCGTTTGCATCCCTACATGATTTATATATATATATATATATATATATAATTATTATAATATATTTGTCATCATTCTTGATTTTCTATTAGTATTGGAATTATTTTTTGCTCCTTCTCCTTTTTTAGATAATATTATCCAGTTCATCGGGACGTATCCGTGCTGCATCTTGCCCACCTGTGCAGCAGCAGACATGCACAGTTCTAAGGAGAGTGCGTCTGGAACTGTGCTTCACAGGCTTATGCAAGAACATCTGCATTATGGAACAAGTGTAACTGGAGGAGGGGTAGAAAACGACAGTTCTCAGATGCTAAGAAACCCCACATCTACAGAGAACCAAATTATGCCCTTGCAGTTTCAATCACGACAGGAACCTCAAGGCCAGGAGCATCAAGTGGACAGCAGTTCCATGGAAAAGACTTGTGGTGTGAGCCCAGGTACAGGTCAAGCAGTCCCAGCGCCCCAGACTTTGTCCGGATTTGACACCTTAGAACTTCCGTCTTACGAGGAGGCTAAAATTCAGTCTCAGCTGTATAAAGGACAGCAAAGTCTGATGGACCCTCAGTCCCAAATCCCTGGCCACAACCAACAGACTGTTCAAAATCCAGACAACCTTCAAAACAATCTTCAACAAAATCAGAACCATGTCTTTCACAAGGAGGGCCATAAACACCATGCACACCAAAGTCAACTCCAACACAATCAGCTTCAGCAGATACTGTCTTCAACAATGTCTGACAGTCCTGCAAGCTCACATTCCCATCTGCAATCATTTTCTAACACACACTCACTCTCTTCCCCGCCTTCTCTTTCGTCTTCTTCCACTTCTCTCTCAGCAGTTCTTGTGGAGGGCCAAGCATGGGCCCATCAAGGAACTGGTGGTACATCTCTTGATGAAGGTCTGACAGAGTTGAAACAGGGTCATGTACGCTCACTCAGTGAAAGGATCATCCAACTCAGTCTAGAATGCAATGGTGCTAAGCAAAGTGTGGGACCTTCCAATTCACCTTTCTCACGAGACACTTTTCCTTGTGGGTCTGATGATAATATAGCAGATTCCCTCTCACCAACTAGTAATACCTCCATGACAAACCTACAACTTCCACCACCACCCTTACCACAATGGAATTTGGATCAAAGAGGTCCTCCCCCAGAATATCCTTTTAAATTTAAGGTACAGACTATGCTTTCGCCCACATTACACTCCAACTCAGAGTCTCTGGAACAGGGACACTTCAACAGTGATACCTTGAGAGCAGCCATGTTGGAGACAGTGCCACTTAGAAATATAGCAAGGTAATTGTAACAGACGCATAAAGGTGAATTGTGTCATTTCTGCGCCATTAGGAGCACCAATTGAAACTGCAAAAAATATGTTTTTCAAATTCCCCCAAATAGATTATTACAGGTAACCATGGGCTGAGCCAGACACTGACATGTTTGACCACTCAAACAAGCAATGTTTTAAAGTGGCTCAGTGTTTATAATTTAAGCCAGCATATTTATAGTTGCCTCTGCATTAAACTAACTCAGACCTATTTAACCTGTAAATGATAAACTGTGTCTGTGTAAACATTGGAAAATGTACACACTTCACCTACAAGTATTTATTATGAACAGGTGCTAACACATTATCTGTCTCACTTTTCAATCACCATCTTTCTGTATTTCAGAGAGTGTCCTTTGTCTTCATCACAACAACAAACACAGACCAGTCCCATGGCTTCAGAGACTTGTATCCTGCCCTCACAGGCTACTCAGCAACAATATCAGGCTATATGCCTGTCTCAGTCCCTGGGATTTCCTCTAGCTCAGACTGGATCTGAGAGCCAGGGACTGTCTTCTTGTGTGGCCCTTTTTGGACAGCCTTTCCCAGGGGAAACGTATGCCATGGTAAGCCATGCCAAGCAGATGCTGGAGATCCTAAAAGAAGAGAACCAAAGCCTTAGACAAGAACTTCACAAGCAAAAGGAGAAGGCCAGCAAACTGCAATGGGTACTTGTCTATCTATCTATCTATCTCGATCGATCGATCGATCGATCGGGTGATGGTAGCAAAACATTGAGAAAATCCCTGTAAAGTTGTCCATTTATGTTTGCGATTGTGCTGCATTCACTCCAAAAAATAAATGTTTTATATATTTTACGGTAGGAAATTTACAAAATATCATCATGGAACAAGATCTTTACTTACTTTTTTACTTACTTATAATTTTCACCCATACAATGTATTATTGGCTAATGCCAAAAATATACCCATGCGACTTGTGACTGGTTTTGTGATCCAGGGTCACACTGACAGGAGGACACTGGCATTATTACATTACAGTGCAGCATTAATGGGAGTTTGTGCTGTATTTGCAGTTGGAGGTGGAAGTTGTGCAACTGTCAGAAGCACATGAGAGTTTAGTGAAGAGCACATCCAAACGGGATGCTTTGGAAAAAAACATGAGGAATAAACTAGAAGCAGAGATCAGGCGTCTTCATGATTTTAACAGAGACTTGAGAGGTGAGATAGTGCTCATACTTTGATGAGAACTTCAGTTTTATTCAAAACTGTTGAACTTTGTAAGTATTTTATTGATGCTTGTTAATTTAGCTTATTTGAGTTGTTCTTGTGTCCTGTGACAAAAAACTTTTTCTCATATGTGTTTTTAAGAGCGTTTGGAAACAGCCAATCATCAGCTAGCCAGTCAGGAGCTGGAGGGACAAGATGACGGACACTTGTATCTTTCACACAGTGAGATTTTACTGCTTTTTGTGCATCATTACACAAACATTCTTTTTACACCATTTCTGTTTGGTTGGATTCTTTTTCCCCTATAAAATGTATAATCTAATCAGGTTGTCTAACTGCTCAACCCAATTGAATGCTTGCTTCCCTCCCTTAACTTCCTGTTGTGAACTGCTTTAATTTGGAGAAAGAGATGCATAGGGAGTGTCTTCTTGAACATATCAGATATGTCTCTCATAAGCCGCTTTCCGGAGGGACTTTTGCAGTTCCTAGAACCTAACGTTCCTATAACCCTTTTTTCTCGTGTTCTGACCGGACTAAATTGGGGATTTTTTAGTTCCTCAGACCATAGTTCCATAACCCTTTCAGTACCTAGTCTAGAGCGAGGTCTTTTTTAGTTCCCTTTCCCTAGGTCTACGTTGATTGGTTCAACTTATAAGTCATGCCCACTGTCAACACGGAACTTGTAGCGCGCTGTCTGCCATACGCAGTGTGTTTTTGCAAAACATTACAACGAGGATTAAGACAAACATAACGCATTCAACCAGCTAATTGCTAATGCTAGCTAAACTTACCCGTCGTTTTGTTTGCCTCTTGCGCTCTGCTCTTTTATCCTCTTCCATCATATTACTTAATATCATATTACGCTGGAGCCTTCGTCTTCTGTGTTTCTCTGTACAGAACTCAAGCATAATCTTTAAACACCGCCGTTCGTTCTCTGTTATTAAGGTCCCGGGCAAGGCAGAACAGGAACATTGCAATAGCCTCCTCCATGCTGGTTTGTTGTTGTTGTATGTGGCCACGCTACATCCAGTGATGACGCTATAAAGACCGTCGCCTAGGGTTGCCACCTTCAGTGAGGCAAAATAAGGGACACCCATACACGAGATAAATAAATAATCATATTAATTAAAAAAAAATGTGTCAATGGTATGGAACTGGTTATTTCAACATGACAACTTGACAGCTCAACAATAAACCAAGAGAAAACATGTGAGCTTGCAACAGAAAACATTTTATATTATTATTTTACATTTTATTATTTTACTTATTTACTATATATATATATATATATATATATATATATATATGAACCAGTAATCATGTTTTTGACAATTCTGCATGGATGGGATATTTTTATTGTTTTTATTTACTCGCATTGATTTTGAATTTCATTTTGAAATTGTTATGTAATTGTTTGTCTATTTTTTAATGTAGCACTTGTAGCACTTTTAAAACTTTCTTTTAATTGCCATAAAGTGTGTATTACAGATATGACCATAATTTAGTATGCATATATGATTAATATTTAATAATACCAATTATAATGTATTTATTAATCTGTTTAATAACATTAACAAATATAATAGTTGTCTACCAAGCTCTGACAAATGTATGGAATACTATATTAATATTATATATTTATTTTTCAAAGAAAAAAACAACAACAAAAAACAAAAGGCCTATACCGCATGTTCTCTAGACTCGTCACTATGGAAAAAAAGACACTAAAATGCATTCATGCGCAAATTAACTACTCTACTTCTTCTTGTGAAATTGATTTTATTATAATTACTATTAGTATTATCTATAGGCTACTGTAAAATCCTTATTTGTTTATTCAACCATGTGTGGGTCTATGTAAAATTATGTCCGTTGATATGACTATTTGTATTATTGGTAAGAAAATCTATTTATGTATTTATTTATGTATTCAGACATATTGTTAATTCTATAGTAGCCTATTAAAGGATGAAATTCTCTAGGTTTTTATTTTCTCCACAACATGCACATTTTTATTATTAAATATGTTTTAAATATATATCTCTCTTATTTCTAATTATAACTTATTTAGGCTACTCATTGCCACTGACACTTTCCAGCCAAGTATTTGTTTCCTCCCACTCTCGTCATTACTTTTGCACACACTTTCGTTTCAGAGGTGGACGCATCAAGACCCGCCCTCTTCTGACTCTGATTGGCCCTGAACCTGATGGTATATTAAACAAACCAATCAAACCAACAATGGCAGCGAGTATTACCCAATCAAGGGTAGAATAGGACGAGTCTTCACAGAATGCGGGGGTGGCATGATTTGCATGGGATCATGCGTTCGGAAATAAGGGACAAACCGCGTCCCGTATTGATTCAAAAAACGGGACGCGCTGTTTACTTCACAAATACGGGACGATTCCGTATTTTAAGGGACGGGTGGCAACCCTACCGTCGCCGTGCTTGTGTTAACCCTCCTACCAGTTCCTATGGCCACTTGGCCAGTGCAAACGTAAGCAGCAAAACCGAGTTTGGGGGAGAGTAGTTCTTAGAACTGTTTAGAAGTGGACAGTTCCTATAACTAAGTTCCTGTAACTACTTGGTCGGAAAGCGGCTATAGCGGCTATGGCTATCCAGTTTTGGTTTGTGGCCTCTACGTGGCTAACCTTCTCCAGAGAAGGTTTTATATTGGATAAGTTACCATGGTGAATAACACTGCTAAAAATCAATCCATCTTCTTGAGCCAAAAAAAAAAAAAAAAAAAAGAGAAGGTTTTTGCTTAAACTTATCTGGGAAGCCACTGAAACTGGCTTAATGTAATAGTCAACTAAAAGAACAACAACTCTTCAAGTAATCATCAATTTATGTTTTTAACAGCTCAAGCTGCAGTCAAAGAACAGCAACCTATATGCACTAAATATACACTAAATAGAGCACCAAATACTACTAATTAGACGCTTAGTACTGAATTACACTGAAATGTTGAAAAAAAAACTTTCTGAAACAACTTTATTTTGTCTTTTTTTCTCAGGAAGAGAAAGCCTGAAAGATCTAGAAAAATTAGAGATGGAGGCAGCTGATCTCCGTTCAGACAATGAGGATCAGCGACGACACATTGGCATCTTAGAGCAGGCTTTAAATAACGCTCAGAGCAAAGTCGCCAAACTAGAAGAAGAGGTGAGTCTGTACACCCTGAATGAATGTACTAAAAAAAATCTGAGAGATGAGCAGAGGCCAGTATCTTTGCAGTATATTAATAAAAGCATGATCCAATAGATGAATAACACAGAAGCACAGGAATAGAATGTCCAAAACACAGGAATGAGCCAAACAATGACAAAACAAGAGTCTTTGAATGTACATCAACAAAACATGAGACATTACTCCCCCTTCTGGTAGGAGCTTCCTGGCGCAATAAACAAAAACACCTTAATGGTGGGAGGAGGTGATAAGGATTATTAGTGGGTGGGATGGTGGGCCAGGTCAGGACCCCCAAGCAAAAGAGTACCATGGGGGAATGAATGGAGGAAGAGACCACAGAGGAGCAATCGGAGGAGGAGACCACAAAGAAGCCGTAAGAGGAAGAGACCGCAGTGAAGCTGTAAGAGGAAGTGACCACAGGGAAGCCAGTGGAGGAAGATATGACAGGGAAGCCAGCAGAGAAAAAGACCACAGGGAGATCAGCAGAAGAAGAGGATGAGTCCATAGGGAAGCCGGAAGAAGCAGAAGCAAAGGAAGAGACCACATGGAAGCCAGCGGAGGAAGAGACCACAAGGAAGTAGGCAAAGGAAGAGTCCACAGGGAAGCCAGCAGAGACCACAGGGAAGCCGGAAGAGGAAGAGACCGTAGGGAAGCCGGAAGAAGCAGAAGTAAAGGAAGAGACCACAGGGAAGCCAGCAGAGGAGGAGACCACAGAGAAGCCAGCAGAGGAAGAGACCACAGGGAAGCCGGTAGAGGAAGAGTCTGTTGGTAAGCCGTCAGAGGAAGAGACCACAGGGATGCCGTCAGAGGAAGAGACCACAGGGAAGCCAGCAGAGGAAAAGACCACAAGGAAGTCAGCAAAGAAAGAGACCACAGGGAAGTCAGCAGAGACCACAGGGAAGCCGGAAGAGAAAGAGTCCGTAGGGAAGCCGGAAGAATCAGAAGCAAAGGAAGAGACCACAGGGAAGCCAGCAAAGGAAGAGACCACAGAGAAGCCAGGAGAGGAAGAGACCACAGGGAAGCCGGAAGAGGAAGAGTCCGTGGGAAAGCCGGAATAAGAAGAGACCATAGGGAAGCCAGAAGAAGCCAGCAGAGACCACATGGAAGTCGGAAGAGGAAGAGTCCATAGGGAAGCCGGAAGAAGCCAGCAGAGACCACAGGGAAGTTGGAAGAGGAAGAGTCCATAGGGAAGCGGGAAGAAGCCAGCAGAGACCACAGGGAAGCCGGAAGAGGAAGAGTCCATAGGGAAGTCGGAAGAAGCAGAAGCAAAGGAAGAGACCACATGGAAGCCAGCAGAGGAAGAGACCACAAGGAAGTCAGCAAAGGAAGAGACCACAGGGAAGCCAGCAGAGACCACAGGGAAGCCGGAAGAGTCCGTAGGGAAGCCGGAAGAGGAAGAGTCCGTAGGGAAGCCGGAAGAAGCAAAGGAAGAGACAACAGGGAAGCCAGCAGAGGCAGAGACCACAGGGAAGCCAGCAGAGGAAGAGACCACAGGGAAGCCGGAAGAGGAAGAGTCCGTAGGGAAGCCGGAAGAAAAAGAGACCATAGGGAAGCCAGAAGAAGCCAGCAGAGACCACAGGGAAGCCGGAAGAGGAAGAGTCCATATGGAAGCCGGAAGAAGCCAGCAGAGACCACAGGGAAGTTGGAAGAGGAAGAATCCGTAGGGAAGCCGGAAGAAGCCAGCAGAGACCACAGGGAAGCCGGAAGAGGAAGAGTCCGTAGGGAAGCCGGAAGAAGCAGAAGTAAAGGAAGAGACCACATGGAAGCCAGCGGAGGAAGAGACCACAAGGAAGTCAGCAAAGGAAGAGACCACAGGGAAGCCAGCAGAGACCACAGGGAAGCCGGAAGAGGAGGAGTCTGTAGGGAAGCCGGAAGAAGCAGAAGCAAAGGAAGAGACAACAGGGAAGCCAGCAGAGGCAGAGACCACAGGGAAGCCAGCAGAGGAAAAGACCACAGGGAAGTCAGCAGAAGAAGGGACCACAGGGAAGCCGGAAGAGGAAGAGTCCGTAGGGAAGATCTTAAAGGGTTAGTTCGCCCATTTAAGACATGAAGTTCTATGCAATCCTTATCAGCACTGTAGTGCATACACACTGACCCACTCTGTTGTCAACCCCCTGGTCAGAGTTGACGTTGCGGCAGCGCGGATTGATAGAAATTGATAGAAAATATTGCCACATTAAAATTGAGGTATGAATTTTGACCGGTGTGTTTTTTGTGTGGTAAATTAATCAAGCTTTGAAACGCAAATCATTTTTTAATGTAAAATTGCACAGTTTTGTGGCCCCGGAAAATAACCGGGAGTACTTCATTGAAAAACTTCCAGTGGTCAGAACTCTGACCAGGGGGGTGACAACAGAGTGGGTCAGTGTGTATGCACTATAGTGCTGGTAAGGATTGCATACAACTTCATGTCTTAAATGGGCGAACTCACCCTTTAAGATCTTCACAAATGATCAAGTGCTGAGATGGATTCATGTCCACAAACATAGTAAACACAAAATAAAACCTTGCCACTGTGAAAAATTATGCCCAAGTCTGATAACTGATGAGATGTAAGTTGTGCTTGCAAAGCTGGTCAGGTTGATCTGCTTGATCATCCACATTTTCAGAATCTGACTGGCCTGAACTGACACGATAAAAAAACCAAAAAACAATATTAACTGTGTGTTTTTACAATTGGTTTAGAAGCTGAAGCTCACCATTATGGTAAAGGGGTGTTACATATCCGACACATGCTTGAGGTGTTAGGCCAATTACAGCACACTAGATCAGCTGGCCAATCAGAGCACTCTGGGCTTTTTGGAAGGAGTCTTTGTAGGAACTGTAACTCAATCAGCATGTTTCAGACTGGAAATATACTGTAGGTGCTAGTGCTACAATAATGTACAGTATTTAAAATAAAAGATTTTACTGAGCGTTAAAGCATGTTAACTTATTCTAGTACATCAGTTCCAGTAAACAAAAATATGATCTTAAAATAGCGTCATTTAGAAGTGGTCACAGAGCAAGAAAATCACTCTATGCTGCATATACATTTATCTAGCGAGTGTTGCTTGATTTCATGTGTGGTTTTGGTAACTTACAGAGATGCAGATATGAGTTGTGTCATTTGAATATTTGAAGTCCAGTCACTGTCTTGCTCAGTGATTTGAAGGATAAACTCATCCCTCGAAAAACTCTTGTCGTATCAGATGTGACGGAACTTTCTAGATTTATGGACATGTCATATTTGATATTACTTCAGTTACCGTTGCTATAGTTACTGGTGATAGACACAAATCCCGCTGTTTAGTCTGACTACATGTTTCACCGCTTCCTGGTTTCTATCAGATCCCAAAAGCAAACAACAAATGTAGCTAATATACACTCAAAGTAAGTATGTTTACATGGATTAATTTTCATCAATCTGAATGAATCCAATCCGAATTCAGTGTGATGATGTGTTTTAATTGAGAATGAAAGGGAAAACTCACATGAGAAAAAGCTTTTAAATTACTTTTACTGGCCTATTATACTGTTCACACCATAAGTCCTGCATCAAGTAAACAGCTCACCCAATTGAATAGCAATACTTTGTGACATCCAAACAATATTAATTGAAACTCTTCTCACTAGACCTAGCGTTTGTTTTATATTATACTGGACAGGCCAGTAGCAGTGGATCACTTAATCTTTTATTTATTATCTTTACAATCTGGCTGCATACTTAAATAAAGAAATTATAATAATGTACATTGAGCAGAGAGATATAAAACACCCAGAAAGCAGTGTCTGTCTTCCCAAGTAAATGATTATCTCTTATTTCTGTCTGTGTGCTGTAGTTGAGTAAAAAGCAGAAGTATGTGGAGCGGGTGGAGCGGTTGCAGCAGGCACTAGCGCAGCTCCAGGTGGCATGTGAGAAACGCGAGCAGCTGGAACAACGTCTGCGTACGCGCCTGGAGAGAGAACTGGAGTCATTGCGAACACAACAGGTCCGTGAATTGAACTGAAACTTCTTCAACTGAAAATTACAGTACAATGATTGAAACCGTTATTGTATAAATCTTTATAATCTTTATATTGACTTGACTGTGGAAATGAAAGAAAAAAAAAATTCAAAAAGCCCATCTTCCTCCAGCAATGCAATGAATTTACTACATATTATGTCCAGGTCATGTTCATTTAATTAATTAAATTGTAATTTTTTGCAGTATTAAGGCAAAGTACAGAGAATTAAGATTTTTAAGGAATTACAGGGATTACAATGTTTGGGGTCAGCTGCTCCACATGAACTCCATTTCTGTATTTCTTCTTCTCTGAGTTTGGGTCATTTAAGGCATATGTTTAGAAAGCAATGTGCACCACCCATTTCACCAGATTTGTAGTAAGAAGCAAGAAACCTGTTAACAGTTATTTTCACCAAAATAAAAGCTGGATGATTTTACTCCTGAAAAAGAAGAAATTAAGACATAAATAATAGTAGTGCAATTTGTAGTGTTGTACTGTAAAATACCACATTGTGCAAAAACCAATAGTTTAACTGTATGGCTATGCATTTCACCTTTTGTTTGGTTTATTCCAACCAAAATTCAACGACTGACCGACGTTGTAGTCTATATCCTGTGCCTGCTGGGCTACATTCCACTTTCACTATTTATAACCTAACTTCCCACCATCTCATTGACTCGTTTGTAAGTCATTACTCACATTGCACAGAATGAACCGGCACAAAGCTGTGCAATAAGGTTGAATTGGAATTGCCTTTGATCACTTGGAACCCACTATGGAGCTGATTTATTATGTATTTTTTTTTTCTCATGAATTTGTTTATGTAACATTTTACAGTATATGCCATACATTATTAAGCTGAAGAAAATCTATAAAATAAATAATAAATCAATAAACTACATTTACATTTATTCATTCAGCTTTCGATTTTATCCAAAGCGACTTACAATTGCTATATGTTAGCGGTCTTACGCCTCTGGAGCAACTAGGGGTAAAGTGTCTTGCTCAGGGACACATTGGTGTCTCACAGTGGATTCGAACCTGGGTCTCGCACACCAAAGGCATGTGTCTTATCCACTGCGCCATCACCACCCCTGTTAGTAAGATGCAAGAAGTATTATGCTGTTAAAAGTTCTAAATATCTCCTATATCATGCAGTTTTGTGGATAATTTAAGCGAGTGGTTGGCTAATTTTTTCACTGTATTTTGAATTTTGAAAAGTAAAAAGTAGTAAAAAGTAGCAAAAATGCCTCTGGCTTGCTCACTGTGGAATTAACCCGGTAAAGTCTGATGTCTTAAATAATATTTAATAATGATAATAATTTTAATTTTAAATGGAACAGGTTATTGAACCTTTAGACAAAATATTTTAATCATATCAATTATTATAATCAAGTAAAACTAAGTTGCTTTAAAACAGTGGGCCCTATTTTGAACGATCTAAGCACATGGTCTAAGGCGAACGGCGCAAGTTGGCGCGTGCGGTGCATGGTCTAAAATGGTTGTCCCTATTCTCTTAAAGAGTAATGGGTGTGTTTTGGGCGTAACGTGCAATAAACCAATCAGAGTCTCATCTCCCATTCCCTTTAAAACCCAGTTGAAAAACTGAACGCTTCTCCAGAGAGGAAACGAATCTGCTCGTGTGCAAGGTTATTGCGCTTTAAAAAAATTATAATAATAATTGCACCATTGACATGGTTTCAGTTGGTCAATTGGTCAGTCTATTTAAGTTTCCTCAAAATAGCAACACGCCAACTTTGCCAACAAACACACCATGTTTTCAGACCAGCAGCCCATGGGTGCACAAATGCAAATGCAAAGGATGTGAAAATGATAACTGCGTTGGGCTGACACTAGCAAAATACATTTGCACAGCCTGGCACTGCATTGCACCGCGTGTATGATAGGGCCCAGTGAGTGTTCATCCTGAAATATTACCAACAATATAAAAGTTATTTTTATGTTTGGTTAATTAAAATTAGTAAAGAAATCAGCAAAAAGAGACATGTACCACATCTTGCTAAAAAAGCACATTTCAATCAGAGGCGTTGATCATTTAGAGGCCTTGTGTAATCTGTGTATCAAATAGGATACAGTATTAGTATACAGTAACCATAGGGTTAAAGTATAATGAAGTGACTTAGCATGTCCCTGTTTAAACAACAGAGGTGGGCAACCACAGTAAGAATATATATCATATTATAGTAGTAATGCTATCTTAAAGTTGTCAAGTCAAATATATTTATATAGCGCTTTTCACAATACAGATTGTATCAAAACTGCTTCACAGTATCAATCAAGACAACATAGCAGTGTTTGTTTATTCATGAAAAAAGACAATCAAGATTGGTAGAGCTGATCAATGGTATGATCTGTCATTTAATTTGAATATCCCCAATTGAGCAAGCCAAAGGCAACAGTGGCAAGGAACCAAAAAACTCCATCAAGTGACCCGATGGTGTCCTAAAACTCCATCAGATGACCCAATGGAGAAAAAAAAAAACTCAGTTAACCTAACTTTTCCAAACCCAGTTATATTCACTTAGGACAACCAATCATATTTTCATTAATACTTTTTGAGACTTGACTTGACTTGAGGGGTGGGCTCCAGGAACAGGATTGATGCTGGTTTTGGATGTGCAAGAGTCTTGTTTGGTCCAGTCTGCCTAACTACTCTCAGATCAGTGTGCTTCTACACACTGATAAAAAAAGGTGTGAACTTTAAAACTTTAAAATTCTCTTAAAGGGATAGTTCACCTTTTCATTTACTAAACCTCATGTTGTTCCAAACCTTTATGAGTTTTTTTTTCTTCTGTTAAACACAAAAGAAGATATTTTTAAAGATTGTTGGTAATCAATCAGTCGACGGTAGCCATTGGCTTCAATAGAATAAAAATACTGTGACTGGATGGTCAATGGCTGGAACTATTTGGTTACCAACATTTTTTAAAATCTCTTCCTTTAAATTCAACTGAAAAAAAACCTCATACCGGTTTGGAACAACTTGAGGGTGAGTCAGTTAATAAAAAAATTTGGGTGTACTATCCCTTTAACAGGTTGGTGCAGATCTGTTTATGTAATAGTAACATTCATTCATGCCCAATCACATTATCTGTTTGCCACGGATGGGAGTTGTGCAACTACAACAGACCTAAAGGTTAGAGAGTAATTATCCAGCCCAACATTACTCATAACCACTGACTGTGTGTGTGTGTGTGTGTGTGTGCGTGCGTGTGTATGTGTGTAGCGCGCTGGTGCAGCCGTTCCCCTCTCTGTGCGTGAGTCCAGTGCTCCTTTGCTACTGGATCTGCTAAGGGAGAGAGAGGAAAGGATTCTGGGATTGGAGGCTGATATGACATGCTGGGAGCAGAAGTACTTTGAAGAGAGCGCAATGAGACACTTCGCCATGGAGGCCGCAGCTACAGCCTCAGCACAGAGGTCAATACACACACACACACACACACACACACACAGCTTTCTATATAAAGACAATTAAATTAAAAAATTAAATCATGACTTCATGTTCAAGTTCACTCTTGTAGTTCGGTTTGCTTGGCTAGTTTAGTCCGGGCCAAAAAAAAAAACTTTTAGTCCTCTTGGTCCACTTATTATTTACATATGCATTTTTACACCGAACCTAAAGATTCCGAACCTGAACGCATAGGTATATATTTACAACCTGATTGGTAGGCTTTTTTTACATATACACTCACCTAAAGGATTATTAGGAACACCTGTTCAATTTTGCATTAATGCAATCTAATGCATTAAAGGGTTAGTTCACCCAAAAATGAAAATTAAGTCATTAATTACTCACCCCCATGCTGTACCAACCCCGTATGACCTTCGCTCGTCTTCGGAGCACAAATGAAGATATTTTTTATTAAATTTGAGAGCCGAATCACTACCACATAGGCTCCTAAGGGAATGACACTTGACGGCCCAGAAAGTCAAGTGTGAGAACAGTGGCTCAACTATAAGTTTATCAAGCGACGAGAATACTTTTTGTGCGAAAAAACAAACAAAAATAACGACTTTATTCGACTATTTCTATTTCTTCCTTGTTGGCCTGAAACAAGACTTGAAGAGATTTTCACGACGCATGCGCGAGAACTGAACTGAAGTAGTTGAAGGAGATCTCAATTCTCTCGTATGCGTCGTGGAAATCTCTTGAAGTCTCGTTTCAGGCCAACAAGGAAGAAAAGGAATAGTCGAATAAAGTCGTTATTTTTGTTTGTTTTTTCGCACAAAAAGTATTCTTGTCGCTTGATAAACTTATAGTTGAGCCACTGTAGTCACATGGAATATTTAAACATTTTCTTCATTGACTTTCTGGGCCGTCAAGTGTCATTCCCTTAGGAGCCTTTGTGGTAGTGATTAGGCTCTCAAATTTAATAAAAAATATCTTCATTTGTGCTCCGAAGACGAACGAAGGTCTTACGGGGTTGGTACAGCATGGGGGTGAGTAATTAATGACTTAATTTTCATTTTTGGGTGAACTAACCCTTTAATGAAATCTAACCAACAAATCACATGGCAGTTGCTATAATGCATTTAGGGGTGTGGTCCTGGTCAAGACAATCTCCTGAACTTCAAACTAAATGTCAGAATGGGAAAGAAAGGTGATTTAAGCAATTTTGAGCGTGGCATGGTTGTTGGTGCAAGACGGGCTGGTCTGAGTATTTCACAATCTGCTCAGTTACTGGGATTTTCATGCACAACCAATTCTAGGGTTTACAAAGAATGGTGTGGAAAGGGAAAAACATCCAGTATGCGGCAGTCCTGTGGGCGAAAATGCCTCGTTGATGCTAGAGGTCAGAGGAGAATGGGCCGACTGATTCAAGCTGATAGAAGAGTGACTTTGACTGAAATCACCACTCGTTACAATCGAGGTATGCAGCAAAGCATTTGTGAAGCCACAACACGGACAACCTTGGGCTACTACAACACCAGAAGACCCCTCTGGGTACCACTCATCTCCACTACAAATAGGAAAAAGAGCTCACCATAATTGGATAGTTGAAGACTGGAAAAATGTTGCCTGGTCTGATGAGTCTCGATTTCTGTTGAGACATTCAGATGGTAGAGTCAGAATTTGGTGTAAACAGAATGAGAACATGGACCCATCATGCCTTGTTACCACTGTGCAGGCTGGTGGTGGTGGTATAATGGTGTGGGGGATGTTTTCTTGGCACACTTTAGGCCCCTTAGTGCCAATTGGGCATCGTTTAAATGCCACGGCCTACCTGAGCATTGTTTCTGATCATATTCATCCCTTTATGGCCACCATGTACCCATCCTCTGATGGCTACTTCCAGCAGGATTAATACACCATGTCACAAAGCTCTAATCATTTCAAATTGGTTTCTTGAACATGACAATGAGTTTACTGTACTAAAATGGCCCCCACAGTCATCAGATCTCAACCCAATAGAGCATCTTTGGGATGTGGTGGAACGGGAACTTCGTACAACACTGCTGTGTGCTGGGCTTAATGTGCTTGTTGTATGTGTGATGGTATTTTGACCAGCTGAGCACTCGTGAAGAGCTTAAAAAATGTGTGAAGGCAGCGGCAGGAATCCCTACATCACACACACACAGATCTGCTGTAAGGACACGTGGTTCTGATGCCTTAACTGAACTGTTATGAGCAACATCAGGACTATGACGAGAAAAAACAGGTATGCTTGAGCATTTTGTCCTTTAGGGTCCGGGGAAGCGAATCGAGAGACCCATCTTTTCAGCCGTCTTGGTCCACTTGTTGTTTACACTTATTCAAATAACCTCACTAACAAAGCAATCGCACCAGGGTTCGCTTTAATCAAATCAAACCTGACAAATGTGAACACATCCTTAAAGCCCTCCATAAGAAAGCCAAAGGTGATCAAATCACTATTAGAAAACCCAAGGGCTCTTTCTTTGCATTATGTTCTCATCATCATATATTCAGTTTTCAATGTGTTTCATATAGTTACTTGTACAGTCTATTCTTGACCTATAATTAAACACTGAAAACAGATACATGTTGTTCAACACAATCATCTGACGAGATCTGGATTTTGTTGGCATGTGCCAGTGCCACTAAGACTTGTGAAGTGTGCTGCTTGTTAATATTAAGTGAAGCTGGTAATGCTGTTTGTGGAGTTATTTAATCCTCCTCTGCTGAGATCTTCAGATATTTAACGTCTTTTCTCTTCAGTTGATTTCATTTAAGAATGTGGCTGAAGTCAGTTGTAGTTCTTGTGTTTCTGCTTGTCTCTTTTATGTCCTCTTCTTTCCTTCAGTGATTCTGCTTGTAACAGGCTCATTAAGGATGAGATGACTCTATATTTAATATACACAGATTTTATGACTCAGATACGGTCCAGTTCTGGTTTATTTCTTTGCTCTTGGCTGACATGTGCCATTGCTATGGCCTGCTTGTGGCCCAAATCTGGCAAACAGGAGTGAGCCACACAAGGGCCGTCATTCCACACTGCCAGATGTAGGCCGGATCTGGGACGTCAAAATGTTGCTATGTGGGTAGTGTGGCATGCGACATTGGCAATATTGCGGAACATGCTGTTATGGAATATGTTGTGGTACCTTTAGTGACTGGAGATGAGCAGATATACTGAGGTAATTGTGACACAAAATCCTAAATAAATAGATTAATTGAATGATTTTAAAAAATATACAAATTGTGGAGCAAATGACCTTGTCTTCTGAGATATTGTCTCTGTGGCAGGACTGCTATGTTGTCAACAAGAGCTCCAAGTCACACAACTAAATCTAGCGTATGATTATGATAATGAGCAGAACCTGTCTCATTTTTATTTGAACGAACCCAATATGGTTATGGCTAATCTTAAGCCAGGTTTCTGTCAAACAGATCACATCCAATTCATGAGCAGTAATCATTTCAACAATTTGTGACTTAAAAGCAACACTAAGTAAGATGTTTTTACCTTAAAATAATGTTTCCAAAATAGTTTCAGTGGTTCATTAAGTTGTTACAGTGCAAAAGGCACTTCTGGATTCACTTTGCGGTCCTATATCTGCTATAATCACATAACCATATAACCATAAGATTGGCAGATCGGGTCACGTGTCTGTAGTTCTAATGACACATAAAACTACAAATTTGACTTGCTTTATGTCAAGCGTTACAATAGAGAGCCTAAGTCCCTCCCCTTCCGGTCGACCACCATGGGACCTTATTTCGGAAAAATATTGAATGGTAGTCAATGGTGAGAGACAACAAATATTTTGATCTCGTTTGAATTGTGCCCTGAATTACACATATGATGTTTGTCAATTTAAAAGATACATTTTAAAGTAAAGAAAGTCGCAGTTTGATGCAAAACCGTTGAGGTATAAGACTGTGAAAATACGTAATTACAAAGACTACAAACCCCAAAGGCGCACATTTTCTCTCAATAAATGAAGCTAACTTTACTGAGGCTGTCTGTCATTGTTTCTTCAGTCTTACGTTATAATCGTAACGTTACGCCGTCCTACCTGAGTGTTTTGTACCAGACTGCACACACACGAGCAGCGGATCTCGTTTTCGCTTCCCGGGAGATGTAGTTCACTGAGCGATTTTCACATAAAACTAAATGTTACTCCTCTGTTGTATGTCAAACTGCGACGTTTTTGACTTTCAGAATTATCTTTTAAATTGACAAACATCATATGTGTAATTGAGGGCACAGTTCAGACGGAGTTGTCTCTCGCCATTGACTACCATTCATATTTTTTCCGAAATAAGGTCCCATGAGCCGGAAGCGGAGGGGCGGGACTTAGGCTCTCTATAGTCATTATTTTATTTTTCTTTGTTTATGATGTCGCAATACATTATACTTTCATGAAATCATGCAACATATTCTACCATGTCTGTGGACATCGTTCATTCCAAAGCTGGTGCTGTTATTATTTACAACAGCGGTAATGGAGATTTCTGCTTCCAACCTGGAAAAGTTACTTGGTGTTGCTTTAATGAAAGTGAGCTAATGTTTGGAAAACTTTAGTAAACATTTAACTTCCATTTTCTTTTCATTTTCTAAGTTGACATCAATCTTTTTTCTCTTGCCAAGGTAGTTTTAGTGTTTGGTAGTTCATGGAAGATGAATAATAATAATAATTTTATATGATAAAATAGCTAAGTGATGTTATTAATGAGATATGGCAGACTGATCAGTCTGCCTGCTTCCTGACATGGATCCCAGTTACTGAGACAAAATAAGAGCACTACATGGATGGATGGAGACTGTCTTCCTTTAATAGGTCAGGTCTACCCCAAAATTTGGACAATTATCTAAAGCCCATATTATTCTGTGGACATCATTTGAACAACCGGCCATTCATTTACGATAACCTACAATGTATTGTTTACGAGCCCCTTTCTAAGATAGGTGCAGTTAAGGAGGGTAACAAAAATGACAGAGAGAGAGAGTGAGAGAACTCCCGTCTTCAGGTCCCAGGGCTGGCGCAAAGTACGGCGACGCCAGATTTCAAAGTAAAAAGATATAACAAGTTTTATATAAATAATCAGTGAATATAAACAAATAAGACTTCATGAGGGGAAATGGACAAAATAATAAGCATAAATCTTTTGACTTTGAGGGGAGTACTTTCTAATCTTTCAAAAGTAAAATTCAAAATGAACAACAAATATCTGAGAACCCAGGCTCAGTCGGGGCCCAGTTCTCCTCTGACAAACGAACGAACAATGTGTGATTATGATTCAGGCAGCATTACAGGTCAGAGGTCGATTTGGATCAGAACATTCACAATATTATCCAGTTCCATCTGGTTGGAGGTCGGAGTCACGTCGGTATGGAGACGGATTTGTTGAGGTGTCCATGAGGCCTTCACAGAGGCTGGCACTTCAGGGATGCGTTGTGGTCATGTCCAGGCGCAGGTCCTCCATCTGATCTGGATATGGCCCAGATCCGGCTGACTTCAAAAAACCTTGGAATAAATGGAAAGACTGACATTAGCATAGATGCCATTCTTCTTATGATGTAACGAGTACATTGGGTGTTGTTTTTCCGTTTCCGGCTGACCTAATATATGCAGCCTAATAATCATTTAACTGATTTGAATAATAGAAATGTATAATGTTATATGCGAATGCCAGGTAAAAAAAGATGGGTTTTTAGTCTAGATTTAAACTGACAGAATGTGTGTGCTTCCCGGAAAATGTCAGGAAGACTGTTTCAAAGGTGCTAAAGGTGCTAAATAGAAAAATGATCTACCGCCGGCAGTCGATTTTGATATTCTAGGTATTATCAACAAGCCAGAGTTTTGAGATCGCAATAGACATATCGGACTATAATCGTCCTCGTTCAGGAGTCGGGAACCTGTGCAGCGACATCAAGAACACGAGCACCAGGAAAGCAGTGACTGCGCACCTTACCCTTACCTGAGGTAGCACGGACCTCAGGTAAGGGTAAGGTGCGCACTCACTGCTTTTGACACTTAAAGGCTCTTGACACTTCAGTTTTTGATACGTTGGGAGTAAGAATGGGTTTAAGTGGATGCATGTTTATGTGGGTACAATACACACATTTTCTTCTCTCTTTCATTCCTCGCAGACCTCCATTTAATATATTTCTGCAGTACAATCTTGTTTACACTTTCTAAAATTGTGTACATTTATTTTTAATAATGACAATGAAGAGATTAAAAAATATTAACTTTTTACAAGTCGTCTTATTTTTGAGTTTTGAGAGATTGAGTGAGTGTGTTGTGTTTTCAGAGACACGACTATGATCCAGCACTCCCGCAGTGGCAGTTACAGTGACAGCTCGCTGTGGTTGCATGAAGACGACAGCAGAAGCCAGAGCAGTCGGCACTGTCAGGACGTGGAACAAAGGTGAATGCTAATAAACGTAATGCTCATGTAAATATGGTCACAGTATAAAACATGTTGCCCAGGCATGTGACTGTTTGCAGAAATCTTAAATACATTATATTTATCTATTTGCCTAAAATGTAAAAATTCTATATTAAACACAAAGCACTGAACAGACTATTAAAATGGTGAGCAAATAATCTTATTGGCTGCAGATTGAGCAAAGGCCAATCAGCTTGTGGCATGTGTTAATTATGAGATATCATGCATATTGAATGTAAAGGACCAATCAGAGTTTCATGACTGAACTAGATCTAGATCAAAAACAATAACTTTATATGTATTGATGAGTACCCCTTCTCAAAGTTAACAAATTAAGCAGTTACTCTTTTACATAGATAGCCTAACATATTAGGTTCTTTAATGATGTAATGTGTAATGTAATGTTTAAGTCTGCTTGGTCAAAAACCAAAAAAGCATGTAAATGAATGTTAATCAGGAAAATAACATTTTCTTATCAAAGGGATAAAATGTTGTGTAAATGAGTACACCCCCCTGAAAGTTACACACACACAAAAAACCAACAACTAAATAAAACATTTTTTTGCTGCAAATTAAAGGCACTTTCTTTAAAAGTCTTTAAAGTCAACAGGGGAATATGTACATTACAAACAAAACATTGTTATATAGCCCCAGTGTTATATAGCCCCAAAAAAGTACCCAATTACTTTAATTAGGAATTCCTCTGTATATCACAGAATGAAGGACTTGCATGCTCAGTTGCTGGAGAAAGACGCCATGATTCAAGTTCTACAACAGCGTTCCCGTAGAGATCCGACTCCTCTGCGTCCTGCCCGCTCTGTGCCCTCCATTTCCATAGCAAGTGGACTACACACACGCCAGACATCACAGGCCGACCACAGAGACCAGCACAGCTGGAAAGGCAGTACAAGTGAGTATACAACAACACACAGATATAGTTACACTCTGTTACAATCTGATTACAGTCCCATGCCTCATTTTTCACAAAACATACAGTATGAGTGAATGACTGTAACTTTGTATGTGTATTATATTACAATTTTCTAGCATCTTCTGCATACTAACACATTTACAACAATGGCTGTATAATCATACCTATGTATTTTATAATCAGTTGAGGACTGTTGGCGGACTCATACACAACAAGGATAGGATATTTCTTAATACACAATTAAACTTTACACTTCATTCAGCTATATCTTTTATAGCAATAGCTAAAACTGAAACAATATTGAGTAAAAACAGTGAAATTACAAACTTTAAATGAACTTTTAAGCACTTTTAGTTACTGATAACTCACAATATCACACAAAGTCAAATCCTATAAATGAAGCTAGCACATTACATTTGAAGACACCTATTACCTTAATTAATTTAATTTTAAAAACTGAAAGAAGATATACATTGCAGTCAAGAGTTTACGTGACTAATTAAGTGATGATTGAGCATTAGTGATGAACACCTGCTGTTAACAAGCAAAACCAGGAAGGAAAGAAAAATGCAAAAACTACATCTTAAGACACAGAAATCAACTGATACTAAATCTCTGAAGATCTCAGCAGAGAAGGTTTAATCAACTCAATAAACAGCATTACCAGCTTCACTTATTCACTTACTACATTACCGGCTTCACTCTGTTAAACACTTTTTTTGTCTTTTGTGCCATAACAAATGTGTTTTACAAACACACAGGTTACAGCAGCCAGAAAAAAGCATATTTGCAATGGTCAAGAGCCCAACTAAAGCAAACGCTAATCTCCATCATGATGACCTTTTGTAGATGTCTGACAGAAATAAAGTCAAACTGGTTAGTAATAAGTGAAGTTGGTAATGCTGTTTGTGGAGTTGATTAATACTCCTGAGATCTCCAGAGATTTAATATCTTCTTTTATCTTCAGTTAAGTCAGTTGTAGTTCTTATGTTTCTCTTTTCTTCAGTGATTATGCTTGTTAACAGCAGGTGTTCATCACTAATGCTCAATTATCACTTAATTAATCACCTAATTATACAGTTATTATCCAATTATCATGTTGGGATCTATAAATATTCTATAACTCATTCAGTTTAGTTCTGTTTCAGTCATTGTGTCCACATAACTTTCGGTAATATTTGAGTACAGTGAACTCAATTTTATTTAATACATATAACTGTTAGGTTTTACATTGTACTACTCAATCCAGAGAGATTCTAATTCAAATCCATTTAACTATATTGTGTAAAGCGACAACAATTAATAATCAGAAGAAGTCCACTAGAAGTCTATTAGTCCACTTCGTGTATACAGACAGGAGCCATCTTTGGAAAACAGTCTCGATAAGTCGAACCCTGAACGACATGGCAAGTGAGCTGAACTGTATGAAGTTCAGCGAACTTCTGAACTGTTCGTGGTTCGACTGGTCTCCTGCCTGTATACATGAAGTGGACTGTCTTTATAAAATATCTTCTTTAAACTGTCTGTACACTTACAAAGTTCTCAATGCTTCGTTTTGCATGTAGGGACCCGCATTATGTTACTGTGTTAGTGTGGGGCTATTTTGAGCCTTGTTAGTGGTATTAGCTAGCAATTTCTTTTTACTTATTATATGCCTCCATATACTAGCGTTATACGCTAAAAAGTTTTTAGAGATAAAACTCTTTACATTCGATTATCATAAAAACAAATCTCAGAGAATGGTCGACTAGGTACCAATGTGTTAATAGACCAAAGGTTCATTTTGCGCTCCTTTAATTAACTATTTGCAAATGATTTGTAAATACTTTATTTATTCTTATTATTCAGTGTTACCGTTTTATTAAAAGTGTTTAAGTTATCCAGACTTTTTGCTGCTTATTGATTATTAATGACATTGCAAATGTCAAATAGGCAGTGACAATGCAAATTGAAAAAAAAAAAGCTACTGTCATGTTATGGAAAAACGTAAACAAAATAAGTTAATGTAAATTAAGTTTTTTAGTGATCTAATTTGCACAATTTTAAATGAGGACTTGACTGAATCCTGTTGATGCCACTCCTTATTTGAAAAAAAGTCAGGCCTGTTGTCCTCTCTAGAATATTGGCAATATCGGCATGACACGATCTTGAAGACATCTGACGTTAACAAGCAGAATCACTGAAGGAGAAAATCTAATTTTTTAAGCCACCATTATGGTGATCAGTGTTTGCCTTAGTTGGGCTTTTGACTCTGTTAACATTAGATTTTGTTTAGCTGTTGTATCAGAATTATAACTGCCAGATGAACAAAGATAAAAGTTGACCAAGATGGTGGTGGTTATGTTTTGACATAATCATAATTTGATCTGAATCACAAATCTCACTTAGAGAGTTATGTCTACCTTGTTGTAGCAAAAGATGTTTCAAGCATCAGTCAGTTTGTCCTATTTCACTATTATTGAAGGTTAAATTTTCTTAAAATTGTCCACCTACTTATTAAAAAATGGCTTCCTTGACACTTCAGTTCAAAAAGCGGGCATTCCAGGGTTCTCAGGATGCTTAGAACACATCAATGTTATCTGGCAATGAATTCAATCAGCTAAAAAGGAGAGGAAGGAGCTCCATGTGACATTCCTAGATTTGTCTAATGCATATGGTTCAGTGCCACATGAGCTTCTTTGGGCAGCATTTTATTTTTTCAGAGTACCAATGTTAATAACAAATTTAGTAAAAGCCTATTTTGGAGATTTGCAATTTAGTTTCTCAACTCCAGAATTCAGCACTACAAGGCAATGCTTAGAGGTTGGAATAATGGGAGGATGCACCATTTCTCCACTGGCTTTTACCATGGCAATGGAATAAATCATTAGGGCACCAAGATGGGTAGTAGGAGGAGAGCGCTTGGCTTCTGGGATGCGACTACCACCAATCAGAGCATACATGGATGACATGACAACCATGACTACAACAGTAGCCTGCACTAATCGGTTATTGGGGAAGTTAACCGATCATACTAAATAGGCACGAATGCAATTTAAGCCCTCTAAATCAAGGAGCATCTCGATAGTTAAAGGAAAAGTAGTAGATAAAACATTCTTCATTAATGGTGAGGCAATACCAACAGTTTCTGAGAAGCCAGTGAAGAGTCTTGGGAGATGGTACAATGAGGATATAAAGGACACAGTTCGAGTGGGAGAAGTTAGACGGCAAGCAGTGGAAGGGTTGAAGAGCATAAACAGCTGTGCTCTACCAGGCAAGCTAAAACTCTGGTGCTTTCGGTTTGGTCTACTGCCGAGGTTGCTTTGGCCACTGACTGTGTATGAGGTTTCTCTGACAACAGAGGATAAGCTGGAAGTGTTAATAAGTTCATACATCAGGAAATGGTTGGGAGTTCCACGCTGCCTCAGCAGAGTGGGACTTTATAGTAAAGGAATATTGCAACTGCCAGTTTCTGTTATAACCGAGGAGTTTAAGTGTGCCAAGGTCAGACTGGAAATGACCTTAGTATAGTCAAACGACAAATGTGTAAGGGAGGCAGCACCTGTATTAAAAACAGGTAGGAAGTTGTCAGCAGAGAAATCTGTGGTAGAGGCAAAAGCTGCCCTTTAAATTGGGGAAATCGTGGGACAGGTACAGCATGGAAGTTTTGGGCTCAATTTAGCTCCTCCTAAATGGCACAAGGCAGGCCCAGCTCAAAGGAGGAAGCTGGTAGTCAATGAGGTACAAAAGCAGGAGGAGAGGATGAGGTGTATAAAGGCCATATCCCAGGCCAAGCAGGGAGGGTGGATGAGATGGGAGAGTGTGGAACAACGTAAGATGGGCTGGCAAGACCTTTGGTCAATGGACGAGAGTAGGATCAGTTTCCTTATCAGGTCAACATATGATCACCGCAGAACCTAAACCTCGGGGTGGGAGAGGATCCCTCTTGTCCTTTGTGTTCATCACCTGCTACATTAAGGCACATTCTGACCGGATGTAAGGTGTCTCTTAGCCAAGGTCGGTTTACTTGGCGCCAGGAGCAAGTACTGCGATGTTTGGCCTGTGCAAAACATTACACACAGAAGACTATATTACCAAGAAAAGGTGTTAACCAATTCTCACCCAGGACAACTGGAAGCTGATAGGGACTGAAAAATGCTGGCTGATCTTGGTCAACGGCTTATTTTTCCACCACTAACCTCCGACCAGATATTGTTTGTGGTCTGGATCAGCACGCATTGTTCAACTGATAGAGTTAAAGGGTTAGTTCACCCAAAAATGAAAATTAAGTCATTAATTACTCACCCCCATGCTGTACCAACCCCGTAAGACCTTCGTTCATCTTCGGAACACAAATAAAGATATTTTTGATTGAATCTAAGGGCTGGATCACTCTTCCATAGACAGCCTGAGGGACTGCCTCTTGACGGCCCAGAAAGTCATTAAAAGAAAAGGTTTAAATATTCCATGTGCCTACAGTGGCTCAACTATAACTTTATCAAGCGACGAGACTACTTTTTGTGCGAAAAAAAAAACGTAAATAACGACTTTATTCGACTTTTCATTACTTCCTTATGAGCGCATGCGCGAGAACTGAGACGAGACCGTTCTTCTTCGACTACTTTTTGTTACCAGCTGCTCACCGCTTAGGAGTTTTACCGCCCACTACCATATAAGATGACGTACTGATATAGCCGGAGGCGCAAAACGTTCTGTTTACAAGCAGTACGTCATCTTATACGGTAGGGGGCGGTAAAACTCCTAAGCGGTTAGCAGCCGGTAACAAAAAGTAGTCGAAGAAGAACTGTCTCGTCTCAGTTCTCGCGCATGCGCCCATAAGGAAGTAATGGAAAGTCGAATAAAGTCGTTATTTACGTTTTTTTTCGCACAAAAAGTAGTCTCGTCGCTTGATAAAGTTATAGTTGAGCCACTGTAGGCACATGGAATATTTAAACCTTTTCTTTTAATGACTTTCTTGGCCGTCAAGAGGCAGTCCCTCAGGCTGTCTATGGAAGAGTGATCCAGCCCTCAGATTCAATCAAAAATATATTTATTTGTGTTCCGAAGATGAACGAAGGTCTTATGGGGTTGGTACAGCATGGGGGTGAGTAATTAATGACTTAATTTTCATTTTTGGGTGAACTAACCCTTTAACAGTGCCATGGGAGGATGCTGTAGATGAGGCATATGAGAGGAAGAAACTGCGGTGTGCTCATCTGGCCACTAAAGCAGAACAGTGAGGATAGAGAGTTCAGGTTTATCCAGTGGAAGTGGGTTGTCGAGGATTTGTGGCACACTCTACAGCCCGGTTCCTAAGAGACGTCGGATTCAGTGGCCAAGAGTTGCGTCGCACAGTAAAGAACTTATCTGAAGCAGCAGAAAGGAGCAGTAACTGGCTGTAGTTGAGACAGCCTTAGTCAAACGGGTTGGTGCGTGTGGTTGGGTTGTGGAGAGATTGTGAAATTGTGGTTAGGTCACGTGAAGGAGCAGCAGGAGGGATGTAGAGGTCAGTAAGCTGGGCTGTGTTGGGTGGGGGACGAAGGAGGGTGACTCTGGGATGCCAGAGTCACTGTCGAGCCCTCTTGAGGTGTTGTGGGCTAGTCGACGAAACACTGAGGACTGAAGGTACCCCTTGAAGATGTCCCCTACTCGGCTCAATACAGATGGTTATCGTGCTGGTCCACTGGGGAGACCACACTATAGTTCAATAAATGCATGATGGGACCCATGAATAAGTTTTGATTGGTGGCACCCAGAATGCACTGCAACATGCTTTATTATTTTCACCATTGTTGAGATTTACAGGCTGATTAGTGATGTTAGTGTGTCTAAATAAAATACTATTTCAAAGTCTGATGAAACACCACTTAACTTACTTAACCTGGACTGTGACGCTATTTTCTTCTGGAAACAAAGTTGTTTGCATTATTTTGTTGTTTGCATTATTCTGTTATTTCTGTAAAGCTGCTTTGAAACAATCTGTATTGTAAAAAGTGCTATATAAATAAATGTGACTATAGCACTCATCAATACTATGTGACCTGTGTTGCTAGACGTTTCACTAAATGGTTTGTGTTCTTGTTTGCAGATGTATTCCGAGGAAAGGACCAAGTAGAGCACATCCTTCCCCCTCTGCCATCTCTTTCAGTCTCTTCATCTCTGCCTGACTCCTCTCTTTCATCTCTTCCTCCATCATTCTCCTCTCTACCTTCCTCTTTTCTTCCCTTCTTGGCCTCTGCAAGTTCAAACACATCATTAATAACCTCATCCTCCTGTGTTCCCCGCTCCTCTCTCCCTCCCTCTTCCTCTTCCACGTTACCCTTGTCCTCATCTGTCTCTCTTCTGCCTCCTTTATCATTATCTCTCCCCACCACTCCTCTCATGTCCCCTCATTCTAAATCAGTCAGCAGAGACAGCAGCTGTCAAACAGGACCGAGTCCGAAGACCTTTAGCGCCGGAACCTCCACAAGGCAAGAGAAGAGAGGTGAGACAGCCAGAAAGTGACAATGTAGCTTTGGCCACTTTACTAGGTATACCTGTTCAACTGCTCATTAACGCAAAAATATAATCAGCCAATTATTAGCAGCAACTTAAATTGCATGTTCAAAATGATCTGCTAAAGTTCGAACTGAGCGTCAAAGTGGGAAAGAAAGTTAATTTAAAGGGTTAATGAACTGAGAAATCAAAGTTTCCTTGAGCTTTTGACATCTAAGAGGTCATCATATTATAAGAATATCCTGTAAGTTTCAGAACTGATAACGTCCATGTTGACACCAGGCTCAGCAAACAACTTGTTTTTCAAAGTGGGAAATGACGACAAAGAGGATAAAACACCACCATGCAGAAGAAGATCAACGCCTACTGGGTTGAACATTTAGGGGCAAATCATTCCGGTTGCCAGTTTTCAAAACAATTTTTCCTACGTGCACTGACGAGTGAGTTGAAACTCCTTATAATATGCAAAACTGCTTTCCACTCACAGCAGTGGATGTTTACTTCCAAGTCTTCAATGTGAGACACCCATAAAAACAGAGCGTTTTTGAGTTAGGCTCAAAACTAGGGTAGAAAATAGCCTATTACTTATTAATTTTGACGTTTTTGAATGTAAAAACCAAGCGAACGTCATAAGTTGACCTCAGAAAACAATATAATAAAATTTTAAAAAAGCCAGTTCATGACCCCTTTAAGTGACTTTGAATGTGGCCTGGTTGTTGGTCTGATTATTTCAGTAACTGCTGATCTGCTGGGATTTTCACGCACAACCATCTCTAGGGTTTCCAGATAATGATCCAAAAAAGAGAAATCCAGTGACTGTCAGTTCTGTGGGAGAAAATGCCTTGTTGATTCCAGAGGTCAGAGGATAATGATCAGACTGGTTCAGCTGATAGAAAGACATGAGTAACTCAAATACATACTAGTTACATCCATCTGCAGAAGAGCATCTCTGACCACTCAACACATCAAACCTTGAAGCAGAAGAGGATCTCTGATAACACAAACACATCAAATCTTGAAGCAGAAGAGCATCTCTGAACACTCAACACATCAAACCTTGAAGCAGAAGAGCATCTCTGAACACACAGCACATCAAACCTTGAAGCAGAAGAGCATGTCTGAACACACAACACATCAAATCTTGAAGCAGAAGAGCATCTGTGAACACTCAACACATCAAACCTTGAAGCAGAAGAGCATCTCTGAACACTCAACACATCAAACCTTAAAGCAGAAGAGCATCTCTGAACACTCGACTCAACATATCAAACCTTGAAGCAGAAGAGCTTCAGCAGCAGAAGACACACCAGTGACACTGAAGATGCTCTTCTCAAAACATGTCTCATCTCTAAAACATCTGTCTTATATCTCCTGTCAGATAAAAACAACAAACTGAGACTACAGTTCACCAAAACTGGACAATAGAAGATTACTGTAATAGAAAAATAGTAAACAACATGAAAGCATGGAGAAGTCTTGCCTCAGTAGCCCCTTTTCCACCAAAGGATTTTGAGAGCCGGTTCGGAGCCGGTGCCTGCGCGCGAACCAGTTCTTTGTGTTTCGACAGCCAAAGAACCGGTTCTCGGCCAGGAGAACTGGTTCCAAAGCGGCACCAACTCTTTGCTGGACTAGAACCGTTCTTTTACCACGTCATGCTTACATCGGGGGCTGGGGGCGGGTTTAGATGTGTTCTAAACATCTTTTCTGACCATAATAAAGGATCGCAAAAAAAAAAACATTTGCAGAAACACGATGGAGTCCACCTTTGTAACTGTTATGCTTGAAGTTAACGCAAGCGTTTCTATTTTTGTAAAAAAAAATTATTGAAGACATTATAAGCAAAGAAGAAAACAGTCACAATATAGAACAGATAAATGGAAAGAAAAAAAGACACAAGACAGGGGTACATAACTTATCAGAAAAGATTACATATCAAACTAAAAGATTAAAAGACTTACATATTTCAATTGTTTTTAAAGCTTTCTTGGTACACGAGTTAGAGATATTCCGAATGTAATGTTTAATTTGCAAGCGTTTCTAGCGTTTCTAAGACGTATGGCGATGTACACAGTGACGTAACGACGTCGTTCCCTGGGCGCTCTAGTCAGTGGAAAAACAAATAGGTTCTGAAGCGGTTCGCAATTGAACCAACTCCGAACCAACTTTGAACCAGCACCAGTTCCGAGCCAGTTCTTTTTTTGGTGGAAAAGGGGTAACAGTCTCAGCGGTTCAGGCTGCTAATGGTGGAATGGTGTGTGGAAGATATTTTATTGGCACACTTTGGATCCCTTAGTACCAACTGAGCATAATTTAAACACCACAGTCTTCCTGAGTCTTGTTGCTGCCCATGTCCATCACTTTATGATCAGTGTATCATCTTCTGATGGGCTCTACCAGCAGGATAACAGGCCATGTCACAAAGATCAATCATCTCAAACTGGTTTCTTGAACATGCTCTGTACTGAAACTGACTCCAGTCACCAATAGAGCAGCTTTGGGATGAGGAGGAACAGGAGATTCACATCAAGGATATGGAGATGACAAATCTGCAGCAGCTGCGTGATGATATCATGTCAATATGGACCAAAATCTCAGAGGAATATTTCCAGCACCTTATTGAATCTCTTCCATGAAGAATTGAGGCAGTTCTGAAGGCAAAATGGGCTCCAATCCTGAACTAGCAAGGTGTACCTATTAAAGTGAACTGTGAGTGTAAATGTGAGAGTAGAGTGTTCCTTGACAATGAAATCAAAATTGACTATAGTTATTTTTTTATTGAATCATCCTGTGTTTATTTTAAATATATTAGTTATCCGTGCACATTATTATTTAAAAAAGACATGCCCTTGTAATCTTTAATCAAAAAAGTACAGTTTTTTTTACAATCGCTTGGACACATTTCACAATACTTGTCACTCTTTCTACACTCTTCACACAGTGATCACAACAGCAGTCTATGAGAGCTAAACTGAAGGTCATTTATCATAGTTTTTTGTACTAAGCAGGCCAATTTGCACATTTACATTCTCTTTTCAAAACTTTTAACTGTAACTGTATAACTTCATAAACTAACAAAATACAAAAATGAACAAGACAAAAACTTGCAACATTTCTACAGTAAAATCATATTGAAATATATTCTGGGTTTAAAAAAAATTATATTATCAAAACAACTAGATGTAACGGAATATCTACACAAGTGTTAGTCATCTATTCATTCCCATCCATTCAAAGGAGGAAAACAGAGGAATAATTTTGTACTGTAATGTATACATGGGCTTTGTAACATATACTGCATTGAATTATAAGCAGTAGAGTGTCATTCTTGTTTTGTAAATAACTTTTATGAAGTGTTTTGAGAGTTTTAATGCTTTTTGAATGTGAAATTAACTGCTGTGCCAAGATGAAAGTTGGTTAGGAAAATTGTGTAAAGAAGAGTTTTGATATAATGACCAAATCATTGAGAAATGTGTCCTAGCGATTATATAAAACTGTAATGTGAACTGGAAGAGTCATTGCTTCTACATCTCATATGTGGTGATGTGTGTACCGACGAAACGAGGGCAAGGTTGTTCAATGGCCAGATGAGTTTTACTCTCTCCTTCCCAGAAACCTGTCACTCACATGAATCAATTATCCATTTAATTTGTAATAGAAAAGAAAAGTCGGTTGCATTTTCCATTTTTCATGGCAATTTTAAAATGAAGCTCAAATGAGATCAATAAGTCATACAAAAGTAGCAGGTCTTAATGAGGGCCAGTTGGGTTAATAAAATGGATATCTTGATGCTGTGAGTGACACAGTGCCTGCACCTTTTCCCATAAAAATACTGAAAAACAATGACTAAATGATTCTTTAGACAAAATACGCTATAATCGAATAGTAGTAATAATGCTAGTATCTAATGAAATAATGCTAGAAGAATGGTATCACTGAAAAAGGTTTGACAAAAAAGTAATTTGAACCCTTTATGTGCAGAATGTCCACCCAGACAGGCTAAAGGCCTAGAAGGTCGAGCAGCGCTGAGGAGAGGACAGAAGATGCCCCTGCCTGACCAAGATCCGCTGGAGATCCTTATATGAAACAACAACCCTGCAAATATCATTCCTACAGACAGGACAGCACTTCTGAGAGAGGCAAGAGGGAGTGAGGGAGACAGAAAAAGGAAGGGTGACAACATAAAGAAAGAGATGATGTAATAGAACACAAACAGACAGACAGAAATGAGATATTTCCTGTCAAAGGAAGCACAAAGTAAAAGCTGGAATTCAATATTGTGCCTCCAAAACACTTAGAAACTGAATTCTATTTTATGTCCATTTATTGAGGAGAAGGGCATTTGCCCCGGCCTGTTTACTTGCATACTCAATGTCTTAAGTTCTCGTCTGTCTTAGTTTATCAGCTGCTGCATAAGTTCCACAGAGCTATATAATTCAGAGAAATATTTTGTGTGATTTTTTTTTTTTGTATGGAATTGTTATGTGTACATCTAAATGATTGAATGCTGTTGATCTTTTTTTTGTTTTGTGGCAGATTTGCAGAAAATAAGCTTGTTATTCCTTTTACAGCAATAACTGCTGTTTTGCATCATGATTCATGTGTGTTTTAATTGCCTGAAAAAAAAACTTTATTTAATTGTGTAAAACTGTTCTTTGGCTGGGAATATTTTAGACTGCTAACTTGCACTGCTACAATGCTAAATGGTGAAGTTGTCAAGGGTCAATAACTACTGTATGTTTTGCGTCCAAAGACAATTGCATGATTGATTAACTGTTTTCTCTAGAAGTCATCTACCTTAGTTTTACCACTGTCTTACCAATTTCTAATTTAATAATTTGTTGTGGTTTTCATTCTCCAAATCCTTTATCATTTTATTCTTTTAATAGCTCTGGTAATCAAAGCAATACAATAAAATCACAGTGTTCTGTATTACAGATTTGTCTTAATTATATATTTTACAAAATCACAGTACATACACACACCTCATTATCAAATTCTACATTCTCTAAGGAAAAACTCCAACCTTTACACAGAGCTTTTAAAACCAACATATTTAGTGAGAAATTGATCACAAAGGGTCAGTTATTTTATTAATAACACAAATAACACAGCATGTTTACATGTTGCAAAACAATCATCTGACACTCAGTTTATCTACATTTTGAAAAGAACAAATAAAAATATAGCTGCGAGCAGCGATGGCGGGCCCAAGCCGGTGGCACCGCAACCCCGGTTCCTTTAGTTACCTAAAGGCACCCGGGTAGCGGTGCCGAAGGCTTTGGCCCTTTTATGATTAAATGTTAAAACGGCTTGCCATACTCTGTCATTTCGACTAGTCACAATTATGTTACAGATGTCTTAAATGATAATACAAACTATCCAAAATGTAATTACGAATAGACAGAAAGACGTTGTTGATATCTACAATGTTAATTCCGGACAGGCAAACTTAGCTTTTAAATGTTAAAAGGGCTTGCCATACAGGGACGTAGGCTTAGAGAGAGGCTCACCATATTCAAACCAAAATATCTGACTTCCTCTTGGTCCGAGCTAATGACTATGTATTAGAAAGTTGTCCGGCTTGAGGAGTACAATGTATATACCGATTTTTGTAACTGTAGATAAAACTAACAACCCCACTTTTGTCAAAAGGTGGCGCTATTTAGTCCTTGCACATTGCCCGTTTCTGAAACTTTGCACATGTCTACTGGCTAATAAATGTGATGTATCTGTTGAGTTTCAAGCAATTTCAATTTCAATTTGACTGTTGAAAAGAAGTGCGCCGATTAGATACTCAGGATCGGTATCGGCTCTGACACTGCCATCTTTGACGAGGCTGATTCAAATTCTATATTGTGCATATACTATTCTGTTAGGCACAAAGGCACAAAAACTTTCTAAAGTACCATAAAGTTTTTGTGTACTGTATTATTAGTGTTCTGAAGCTATTATGTGATATAGAAATTAATATTTAAGTCATTAAATTCAAGAACACAAACTTTTCCCTCTCTGCGCCTGTCAGTCATTCTCCATTCAGCATTCAAACAGCACGTCACATTCGGTTACAGTCAATGATGAAACGATCTTCAATGATTCAATGTTAATCCTATTATACTGGATCTTTAAGATAAAGGTCTAAAGGTCTATATTTTCGAATGAAGAAACTTTTTCTTGCTGGACTTTATTGCTGTAACTTAATCGTGTTACTTTCTACCGGGTGTCGGACGCTGTCGGTTAGATCACAACACTAGAGTCAGAGCACTATAATTGTTCTTCACGCACACAGTAACTGAAATTTAAAACCTTTAAAAGAAAAGGCTCAATAAACTATTGCATAGATAGATAATGTATAATACACTGTTCATAAATATGTATTTCCTTTGTGCTTTGAACTTTTCAATACGGACTCAATGCGCTGTAACTTCATGTGGCTTCAAGCACATCATTCTCCGCTCGGGATGCACATAAGTGCTTTGTGCTGCACCGTATTGGAGCCGTAATATCATAATGCAGTGACGTAATGACAGATTATTAATTGCCTTTCAATTATATGTTGCTTTATAGCAGCCATGGCTATATTTTTTTTTATGATTTTTGTTATCTTGTTTTTCATGAATGTATTTTTCAAAAATAAGAGCAATGTGTATTATCTATTATTAATATGGTTTATAATAGCATTTTTGTCATAGATTATGACAAAGTAATCATATGATCCACCAGCGAGGAACCAGCAGAACAGAGTGAACATTCTTTCTGTTTAGTTCAATCCTACTTAATAGGAATTTATTTAAAATGCTCGCTCTACTCCACACCATTAATGTCTTGTGCGGACATCCGTATTTTGACTTTCGGTTTTAAGTAAGCGATTTAAAAGCTCCCAAGTCCCAGCGGAGTCACACGTTGATTAACCGGTGGGAATATACACAATAGGCCTACCTGATATTGAACACAAGAGGGCAGTATAGCACTACGTATGACTCAGATTATTATTTTTTTATGAATTTTACAACAATTCTGGCTGTTTTTGAACGTAAACACAATTCTTAAATGAAAAAAAAAGGAAAAATTGGGGAAGTTATAATATTTGTATAATTTAATTTAGAAACAAATGATGTATAATTACATTTTTAGAAGATATGAGGCTTTTAGTGTTTACTTTTTTGACATTACTTTAATCTTTTGCCATAGTTGCACATGTCTATTGGCTAATAAATGTGATGTATCTGTTGAGTTTCAAGCAATTTCAAGCATGCTAAGAGTCCCAAAAGCATCAAAAAATAATGTTAAAGTTTGTTTCGTTGCCACGGCAACAGTATCAAAGATATCAAAAATTCATTCACAGGTCTACATCTGCCGTGTATTTACATTATACAGATGAAGTTTAAAGCAAAACGGTTAAAAATAAGAGAGTGATTTCAAAGCATTTTGAAAGTGACACACTTCCTGCTGCCAGTTGGTGGCGCTATAACTTTGACTCACAGTAGTCACATCCATGTGATCGGTCTCTTACAGCGAAAACACTGCTGAAGTTTCATCAAGATCAGTTAATGTATGCTGAAGTTATAACACACATCCTGTTCCATGTTTCTCGCCATAATTTCGTTTCCTCGCCACGGCCAAACCGTTCGAGATATCAAAAATCCCGTGGCACTTTTTCATCCTTAATGTCTTGACTTCACGCTGATCAAGTTTCGTCGAATTTGGTTCAGTGCTCTAGGAGCAATAATTTAAATTACATTGCATGTGTTTTAAACACAACCCTAAATAGCCAACTTCCTGTTGGGCTGGGGTAAAAAGTAAGAGTGTGAAGTATATATGAAACGATGAGATCTATACGTGTACCAAGTTTCATATTATTACATGCAAGTGTGTTTGATTTATGGACCAAATTTTCAGACCAAGTTTATTGACCAAGTTAATCTGATTAATAAACTAATTATATAAAACTATTGTCAATTCACTACAATTAAACTAGTTATATGCCTTTACTTATAAAAAATAAAAATAAAAACTTATTTAAAAAATACCAGGCTTGAGAAATGTATTTTCTTTATGCAGGTCATACACACAGCAGTGAAATGGTTAAGCCCCCTCCCCCTGCACACACACACACACACACACACACACACACACAGACAGCCAGCCAGCCAGCCAGCCAGCCAAAGACACAGAGACACAGAGACATGTAGGCTCAGAGTGGCCATATTCAAAGAAAAATATCTGACTTTCTGTGGGTCCTAGCTAATAAGTGTCAATTAGAAAGTTGTCCGGCTCGAGGAGTACAATATACATACCAATTTTTGTAACTCTAGTTAAAACTAACCACCCCACTTTTGTCAAAAGGTGGCGCTACTGAGCCCTCACCACGCCCGTTTCTGCAACTTTGCACATGTCTACTGGCTAATAAATGTGACGTGTCTGTCGAGTTTCATGCAATTTGAAGCATGCTAAGGGTCTCAAAAGCATCCTAAAAGCATCCTAAAAGAAGGGTAAAGTTTGATGCGTCGCCACGGCAACAGTTTCAAAGATATCAAGAATCCATTCACAGGTCTACATCTGCCGTATGTTTACATTATACATATGAAGTTTGAAGCAAATCGGGTAAAAATAAAAGGGTGATATCTAAGCATTTTGAAAGTGACACACTTCCTGCTGCCAGTTGGTGGCGCTATAACTTTGACTCACAATAGTCACATCCATGTGATCGTCTTCTTACAGCGAACACACTGCTGAAGTTTCATCAAGATCAGTTAATGTATGCTGAAGTTATAACACACTTCCTGTTTCACGTTTCTCGCCATGATTTCGTTTCCTCGCCACGGACAAACCGTTCGAGATATCAAAAATCCCCTCGCAAACTTTCATCCTCAATGTCTTGACTTCACGCTGACCGAGTTTCGTCGAATGTGGATCAAAGCTCTAGGAGGAGTATTTGACATTCCATTGCGAGCGTTTTACAAACAAACCTCAATAGCCAAATTCCTGTTGGGCTGGGGTAAAAAGTAAGAGCGCGAGGTATAGATGAAACGATGAGATCAACGTGTGTACCGAGTTTCATATTATTACATACAAGCGTGTTTGAGTTATGGACCAAGTGTTCGGACCCCGTTCCAGGGGGCGCTGACGAGCTGCCCTGCCACGCCCGGGTACCATCTTCAGCCCGGCTCTGATGGCCGCGGGTTCTGACCCGTGTGCAAAGTTTCAAGAGTTTTCGAGCACGTTAAGGGCCCCAAAAGTGCCCAAAAGGTAGCAAAATAATAATAATACTAAAGAAGAATAATAATCCCAAGGAAAACAATAGGGCCTTCGCCCTTTCAGGGCTTGGGCCCTAATAAGCAAATTGGGCAGAGATGCAATATGTGTGTGAAACATGTCGAATTATAGTTTTTGGTTTTCAGCTAAACATTTTCTGTTGCCAGGTACTTGTACAGATTACTGTACTAATTACTCTCTATAAAGTACTTACTCTCTAATTTCTTTCTAAATCCCAAACAAACCTGAAGATACAAGGATAGGCAGCAATCTGAACTTTTAATTCATTTACATAAATAATATAAAATTGCATAATTTTTTTTGTGTGAAAACTTTATTTTCGTTTTACAAGAATAAAATTCATTATTTTTTTTTATTTTTTTTTTTGTGTGTGAATATTTTCGTTTTACAAGAACAAGAACAAACACAAACATGTGACAGCAATACACTTTCTGGCCACTGCCAGGGCTAATTCCAAATTTTTTATTTGAAATATGTTAAGTGGTTTATCAATTTTCATGAAGTTCCCCAGCAAGCACAATTCTGTGTCAACAGGTAATTGTAAACAAACTCACTAAAAAAATGTCTTTCAAAGAATAAAATGCAATATGAACCCACGTAGGAGTTTCTATTGAAGTGGCATTTTCAAACAGAGACAAAACAGTTTTGTCATTTTGGGCTG